TCTAAGTGTAAAGCCACTCATCCACCTAATCGTTCTCATCTCGACAACACTTAACTTAGTATTATGCTTCTCTTTTAAAAGCCAACATTTAGCGCCACAGAGCATTGCAGATCTCACTGCCGTCTTATAAAATTTTACCTTCAATCTAAGCTTTATTTTTCTATCACTCAAAAGGCCCGAAGCATTCCTCCACTTCAACCGACCAACTTGAATTCTACTATTAACATCCCCATCTATATCACCATTGCTTTGAACAACAGACCCAAGATATCTAAATCGTTTACACCTTTTAATAATTTAATCACCCAAAGTTACACTTCTGACTAGAGTTACTACTACTAAAATTATATTTCATATATTCAATTTTAGTTCTACTCAAATGAAGGCTTTTAGACTCCAATGTAGACCTCCATAATTTAAGTTTTTCCTGGATATTTTCTCTCGTCTTATCCACGAGAAGGATATCATCAGCAAAAAACTTACACCAGGGTACATTCTTCTGTAAATGTCCTGTAAGATCATCCATAACTAAAGTAAAAAGATATTGGCTTAAAGCCGATCTCTGATGTAATCCAACAGAAATAGGAAAATATTTGGTCAATTCTCCTTCAGCTCGAACACAAGTAAGAGCTCTAGTATACATATCTTTAATGACTTGAATATAATTCATATCAACACCTTTCTTCTCAAGAACTCTCCAAAGGATATCTCTTGGAACCTTATCGTATGTTTTTTTCTAAATCAATAAAAATCAAATGTAGATTCTCCTTATTATCTCTGAACTTCTCCATCAAACCTCTCAATAAATGTATAGCTTCCATAGTAGACCTGCCCGACATAAATCCAAATTGATTATGAGAAATCTTTGTAATACGTCTTAACCCATGTTCAATTACCCTCTCTCATAATTTTAAAGTATGACACATCAACTTAATTCCTCTATAATTTTCACACTCTTGTGCATCCCCTTTATTTTTAAAAATAGGGACCAAAATACTCTTCCTCCACTCCGCAGTCATCTTTTTAGTTTTTAAAATAATATTAAAGAGTTTAGGAAGCCAATAAACTCCCAAATCTCCTAAATATTTCCATACTTTAATTGACATATCATCAGGTCCTATAGACTTTCCACCCTTGGTATTCTTTAAAGCCTCCTCAACTCTTTTTTTACTAATGTGACGGTAAAAATGAAACATTTTATTATTATTAACGATATTAAGATCACTAAGGTCGATCGTATTTTTAGAAACTTCATTAAAAAGTTTATCAAAATAACTCACCGACCTAGGTTGAATAACTTAATGAATAAAAGAAAATTAAATTCTTTATTATACCTTCGGCCAGTTGCTTTAATCTCATGTGCTTCTTATTCTCTCGCGAGCACACAACCTTTCCTTTCCCTGTACAGGAGCACGTAAGACTAGGGCTCAGCTTCCTCTTCTTCTCTACCTTCCTCGGTCGTAGCTCAACGCTGCACAACACGTGCGATCTTCAACCTCCTCTGCACAGGATCAGGATGCACCAAGTCGCACGACCTCTTTCCTTCTGCAAGCGATGTTGCCTACTCGTCTTGCATGCTTTATTGTCGACGTCTCTTCTCCACGCACAACACCGACTTCGTCAATCTCAAGCGAACCAACAACCAACAGTGGCGTCGATTTCTCCTTTCTTGTTCTTTATTTTTCGATCAGCTAAGGCATGAGCTTCCTTCTCACAGGACGATGCCAAACCTAAGTACGAGCCGCACCTTTCTTATGGGTTTGTATTCTCTCTCGACTTCGTTTCTCACATGTAAAATTTTCTCTTCTCCTTCTACCGCTGCCATCTCCTTCGTCTACCGCTACCCTGTCATTCGATTCATTTATCTCTTGCTTCAAGTGAGACGCCTGTTTCATTTATTTATTTATTTGTTATTATTATTATTATTATTTTACCTTTTACTAGTTATTACAATCTCCTCTCATTATAAAAATTTCATTCTCGAAATTTATGAACTTAACACCAACTACACATTATGCAGATTGAACATGAATTATATACTAATCTTCAAGAAAGTTTAATTCTTGTAGAGTGATTACAAAAGAAATTAGATAAATCTAGTATTGAAGATAAGATAATTCAGCTGAACAATCTCCAAACATGTGAATCATAACAACATAACTAACACAATACTCAACTTCTGAAATCAAAGTAGTACATAAAAATACTCAACAGTGGACAACTAACATGAAACCTAGCATAACACCCAAGTGATAATTCACTCCATCGTCTCTATGCATCAGTGGCAGTGGTTTTTTCAGGTTCCTAATGAGTTGAGGAATAGAATCTTGGTCGAGTGTTCTCCCTTGGTTTCCCTTTGCGAGTCATAGTACTAGCTTTTATCATCTTATGCCGACAACTTCTAAAAGTAGATCCCTCCCAAGAATTCCTCTGAGTTGCTTCCTTTCCCAATTTAATATCTGATGTGGGGTTTTTAGTAGAATTATGATAGTTTATCATCTAATGTTCAGGCTATCTCCAATAGTAACACATCTTCAAATCAAATAGACATTCACCACGATGTTGCTTTCCACACTTAGCACATTGCTCTATAGTTTTGCTGCTACTTTGACTGATAACTCTATTAGCATAACACTTTATCTTCTTCCCGTTGGACTCTCGAGAATAAACTGTTTGTGGCACTTCTAAGTTCTTCTTCTTATGTATATCCTTACACTTCTGAGTCTGTTGAAAATCAATCTCCAGCCGCCTAGCCCTCTCCCATAGCACTGAACAGTCTTCGATCCCAAGTGGTACTAGTGGCTGCCGATTGAATTCTTCAATCCTGAAAAAAATATCTGTGGTGTTTCTCCTCTGCAGTAGGAATAAGCTGTGGTGCATACCTCAACAAGATAGTAAGCTACGCTTTGTACTGCATAACTGATCGATCTCCCTGCACCAACCTAATAAATTTATCTTGCATCTGTCTTCTGGCTGATAGTAGTACAAACAAATCTCTGATGGTTTCCATGAACTCCTTCCACTGCATCAAGTGGCTGGTTTTACCTGCAAACTTTTCCCACATATGTTCTTCCCACCACCTCTCAGCTTCTCCCTTGAAAGTAAATATGGCAAGGGTAACTCTCTTCTCCGGTGGACATGTCATCCCATCAATAATTTTCTCTACTCTTAACAGCTAGTTTTTAGCTTCCACTATCCTCAACTCCAGGAAACAAAGGTGGCTTCGTATCCTGAAAAAGCTTTGAGTGCTTATCCATCGGCGGTCCTCCATTGTTACTGACTAGAGGTTTAGAGTTCTTAATCATCTACATCAGTCCAGACATCATCTTAGCGAAAGCATCAACATTGACTGTAACATTCTGGGGTGTATCAAATTTAACATCTTCATCATCTCTGGCCTCCACCTCCAAATCATCCATACCTCTAAAATAAACATAATTTAATTAGATTCAATTTTTTTATTTGTTTATAACTTAATTGATTTATCCTATTGGCTCTTTCATTAAAATCCATGTTATTTAATCTAAACATCTACTCTGATACCAGTTTTGTCACGACCTGCTCGGGGTTTGGAATTAATTAAGACGGGAACGGACGGTCGGAGAGTGAATATTAATTCTCTTAAATTCTATTTCTATCTCTAATAGTTTAACATCCAAACATTCATGAAAGAGCAATTAAAGAAAAAAAAAATTAAAATTAACTTTTTTTTTAAAAAATTTTTACTAGTTATTGCATGAATAATCATATAGTATGAGCTATATACAACGTTTATATGTGCATGCTAATTGGTGGAGTTTGCTTTCTTATTGTAGATGCTAAAGCTCATGCACGTAAACTGAAAAAAATGATATTAATATAAATGTATTTTAATTGGTATAATTTTAGATAGTTCTTCCGTAACTGATGTAAACAGAATAAGATATTGTAACGTACGATTGAATATTTTGAATTTTTCTAATTGATTATAATTGAATAATAAATTATTAGTTGCTTTATATTAATTCATTATGTTTGACTAACATTTATTTTATTTTATTTCCGTTATATTATTGTAATTTAGAAGTACGAGTCTTCACCGCTCTGTTGATAGCTTAATATATTTTAAACTTACATCTTAAGCTGAAAAGAAAAAAATATTTATAAAAGGCGGAATCAAGCCAAGTGAAAAATAATTTTATTCATGACTAGTTACTTTTATGTTGATTTAAATTTTATCTTAGTAGTGTTTTTTTTAGATTATTTTGATGATTATTTTTATTAAATGGTGAGAGATTTCATTTTCATTGTCCGATCATTTGTTTCTGCATTAATAAATTCAAGGCCTTGGATTGGGCTGTGATATATTCAACTTACATATCCTTCCTTTAATGGCTAACAAGTGCTTGGACATCATTGTAATTAGGTACAATCCTATTACTGATATATTCTGTTCCCTGAAGTGGAATACATTATCTTATCCTGTTGTATAACTTCCCTGGCACTATCTTCTACGAACACAAAGTACAATGAATCTGATGAAATTGAAATACTTTCATGTAAAGATTGACTAAGAAAGGGTATGGTAATAATGGGAAAATGAACCAGAATTAGGAAGATTAAATTTGCTTCATTATTACTTGCGTGAATTTACAATTGTTAAAGTTTCTTGGTTTGATGGTCATTTGTAAAAATCATTCAAAAACAAACATGATTCCTATCTTCAATTTTCGACTATTTTTATTATTTTTAACCTTTGTAAAGGATGGCGTGTCGTGAATTTCATTCATATCTTTACATTGTTAAGACTTGTTATCCCCTTCTCATTACATCCGAAACAAAAATCATTATATTGAAGCATGAAAACTCAGATTAAGCTTTGTTTTGTTTTAATTTGTTTTCTATAATATTATATCCGTGTTATTTCATGGTGCAATGTTTTGTTGTTGCCATTTGCCTCAAATTTTATAAAAGCTGTCTTTACCTTTTAAATGCTGCTTAAGGTTTGTTCTGCTTTGTAGGTATACTACAGATGGAGGCACTAAGGATACATTAGAAAAGGGTTCAATTCCAGAAGAAGACGTTTATGCAGGTGAGTTTAGCAAAACCGTAGCAGATCATAAATATGCTGTGCATTGAATCATGTTTTTCCAAAGGATAGTTACAGTTCTACTTAGTCGTTGTTGATTGTTAAGAAAAAATAAAATTAAGATAACTTAAGACATCTGATAACTGTTCTCGTCCCAACACGTCAAAACTGCTCCTGCTCTTGTTTTCGTGTACAAAAATTATACCCAACATCCTCACACTTGTCATCTCTAATACAGTCGCAACTAGGGCTGGCTGGGAAGGCGAAGGAGTGATGGCTGCGCACAAAGCCCTTTGGAACTCACATCTTCTCTCCTTTCACTCCGCTCTCACCCAGGATGCTCCCCTCGCACTCCCCTCCTCTGATACGATTGCGGCTAGGGCTAGCTATGAAACAATGACGAGATTGTGGCATTCGAAGACATCTGAAACTCCTATTTTTCTCTTTTTTTGTGCTATCATCAATTTGAAAATGATACTGGAGCTAACCCACAGGACCACAATGATGTAAAAACAAATATTTATATTTAAATCAAACAGAAAAATACAACTATACAACGAAATGCTTATCTAATTTTATGAGTTTATGTGATCCAAATCTAGAAGAATTTTTTTACCAAATTGACAAATTAAGGTTAAATCAATGAGATAATCTACACCTAGAAAAAAGCTATGCAAGCAAGCTAAAACAATTCCAAATATTTAAGTTCTAAGATCCGTTGATTCAAGAAAGAAGACATCTAAAGCTACAAGCTTCAATCTATTGAGTTAGAAAAGCACAAGTTCTCTGTAGCCCGAGTTTATGACCCAAACAGGTTAAGATGGTCAAACTCAACAAGCTAAAATATGGCCAAGTCGCTGACAACTCTCTTTTTGCAACAAGATTATCCCCCTTTTTTTCTAATATGATGACAAAGGCTGTCAAATTTCAACGTTTTTTGATTTAAAAAGCTCAAGTGAATTAGATCAAAGAAATTTTCTTGATTGGTCAAAGGAATGATCATCACTCAAAAAAGCTTTAAGCTGAGTTCGGCGTTCTTTTTAAATTAAGAAAGTAAACCTTCTTCTAAAGTTCTCATGAAGCAGAAAACATAAATTAGAGGAAACCTCGTCTTTAATAAGTTCAACAAAGCTGAAAGCAATGAGCCAAAGAAGCTATCCAAAAGTTGGTTCAAAACTCGAGGCTAAACTAAGGGAATTCAATCATCAACAAGTCCGATAAAGTGCAAAACACTTTTCTTATCACTAACTCAATATGAGCTCGAAGATTAGGCCAATGACATCTATCCATCAACAAGTCCGTCAAAGCATAAGACCATGACATAAAGGGCTTTTAATATCTCAAAATTGCTGAAATGAGATCTTAGTAAATATTACAAAGACACAAAGCCTGGATTTTGATGAAGTACAAAGCACATTACCGACGATTTCTTATCACTTACTCAACATAAGCTTGAAGATTAGGTCAATGACATGTATCCTTCAACAAGTCCGTCAAAGCACAAAACAATGACCAAATGTATGCTCACTCATCTGACAAGTCTCTAGAAACAACTTAGGTCAATTTCTTTAACATTTCCACTAAAGCATAAAATTAGGACCAAAAGTATAATTCAGGACAATTCCATCATCATGTCCATTAAAGCATAAGACCAGGACATAAGGGCCTTTAAAATTGCTTAAATGAGATCTTCGTAAAGTTTGCCAAGGCACAAATCTTGGATTGAAGGATAATATTGAAATAAAAACTTCAATAACTTTCTTAATGCAAAAAGCATCGGGTAGAAGAAGCTATCTTAGCCTTCATATACAAATCAAGGCTAGTTCAATGATATTTTATAATCAATAAAGTTTATCAAAGCACCAATCACATGACCGATAATTTCTTACCATCAACCTAATTCGAGCTTAATGGCTAGTCATCAACGTACATACTTCAATTAAGTTCATTAAAGCATGAAATATAGGACAAAAGGTATGTTTGTTTTTTTAACAAGCCTATAAAGACAAATCAACTATATTCATTCATCAAACCCGTTAAGACAAAAAGCAGAGTGTAGAGAAAAAACTCAATCTCTTGCCAAATGAGTGATAATAAATTTGAGGCAACATTAGCCAGAGTTTTATATAATGATATAAGCATGCATATTCAATTTGAAATACATTCTTTGTGTCAACATCTGTGACTTTCCTTGGAGATCTGCAAAGTAAAACTATTAACATAATATCCAAACAAGCTTGTTGGAGATCCGTATGGTCAATCGATTTTGCAACAAATATGACTTACTTTAGTCGCACATCATATTTATTGAGGGGCATTTTTTGACCATAAAAAATAATTATAATAAGATTAATTAAGATATCCTGATAATTGCTCCCACCCCATGAAGTCGAAACTGCTCCTGCTCTTTTTCTCATGTACATAAATTGAACCCACCCCCTCACACTCAGTCATCTTTGATATAGTCACAACTAGGGCTAGCTAGGAAGGCAACGAAGTGATGGTTGCGCAGAAAGACGTCTGAAACTCCCATCTTCTCTCCTTTAGTGTCGTTCTCAACTTAAGCGCTCCCCTCGTGCTCATCTCCTATGATAGAATCGCCGCTAGGGCTAGCTGTGCAGACAACAACAAGATTGCGGCATACGATGACATTCAAAACTTTTATTTTTCTTTCATTGTACTCTATCTTCAAGTTGAAACCCTCGCTGAAGCCCCCCTTCATCTCTTCCCTGTTCGCTCTGACCCAAGCGACACACCCGACGCATCTCTTTCTTCTTGCAGACTAATTTGAAGTACAAAATATTTCATGCTTGAAGTATAAAACTAATTCATTATTTTGCTCCTATTCTTTCTTGTTTTGAACCGCAAGGCCGCACTTCTCCCTGCTTCTTCATTCCATACGTGATAAGGCCGCTCGACCTTCACAATGTCCCAAAGTAAGTGTTTTAGATGTCATGAATTTGGACACATTGCCTCCAGCTGTCGTACTACAAGAGTTGTCTCTGTCACTAATCAAGAAGCATTATAAGTATTGGAGACATAGAAGATAGTAAGGCTGTGCAGGAGTACCGATTTCCAACTAATGAGGGCGCGATGATTGTGGTTTGACGGGTCCTTCAAACCGAGGCAATGAGAAAGCAACAGTGCTTTTGCCACAACGTCTTTTATACTTGTTGCACTGTGAAGGGAATGGTGTGCATCGTTCTCATCGATGAAGACAGTTGTGAGAATGTGGTGATTAGATAGCAGGCGGGCAAGTTGAATCTCTCTACGCAGAGACATTCCTAGTCATATTTCCTTAGGTTGAAGAGGGGGAACATGATTAGCATTGACAGGAGATGCCTCATTAGAGTTTTCTTTTGAGGATCAATTGCTTGATTGGGTGCGGTGTGATATTGTATCCATGAATGCTTGTCATATTCTGTCGGGGACACCGTGACCGTTTGATCACATGATTCAACATGATGGGTTAAAGAAGTATGCAAAGTACATAATTCTCCTACCTTCTATGGAGTCCAAGGTTATAGGTGCTCTTGACATGAGAGTAACACCGGTGGGATCAGTTATGGTGATGTTAGAGGGCAGTGAGACAGAAGAACCGATATCAAACACATGACAACCAATACAAAGTTTCATGATATCCTGATCAACAACCAATCATTTGGACTGTCACTATTAGGTGAGGTTCTGCCTGACTTCACTTTAAAGAAGAATGAGCTAACTTTTAGTACTCTTAGAGGACTTTGCGAAGTACTCTTGGCATGAAGTTCTAGTTCAGTTCAACAATGTACTCATAAATGGTTGGACAGGTATAGATGGTTACTCACAATTTGGGGAACCTAGTCAGATGTTTTGTGGAACAATGCATCCGACAATGAGATTCAGATGCTTTTAGATACACAGTCGAGACCCTCCAATCTTGGGAGGTTACAACAACTCTGCCACTTTCAACGTAGCTGACCTGATGTCATATTATGAGGATTCAGAAGCTATGACAGATGATGTCGAAGCTCCAATCCTGGTAGACTGATGTGGGGGTCAGGCAGGAACCTGAACCAGTTCAGTCTACTAGGATTTCCAACCAATTGGAGTTGTACCCACTCATAATATTAGTAGGTTTATTTAAGTGTTTTTTTTTTTGTAGGGTTTATTTTTTGATTGATTTGTGTTTGTAGAGCCGACAACTCTTCTTTTCCCTTTTTAGGGCTGTTTCATAGGGTTTTAAGGGGTGCTCCGACTGTATCTTAATCTCTAGGTTATGTGTATCCTTCCTATACTTTTCACCCATCCTTTTCCGCATCGCTCCCATATCCCCTTCATTGTTTGACTTCTACCTCCACCCTTGAAAAGAAGAAACTTGTTGTTTTCTTCGTCCAACCTGCCACCGTTGCCCAGGGACATGCGTTGTCTTGCTGTCCTCCCCTCCTTGCCACCGCCACCCAGAACAACCTTCCTACACCTGTACCTGTTGTACCTGCTCACCCCCTTGCCGTCGCCGGAAACTGTCAGCACCAAGGCTGTTCTGTCCCATGACTTTGTTGCTGCTGCTCCTTACAGCCCTCCTGCAGCTGTTACTGCTCCTTGCTTGCAGTCCAGACTACTGGAAACTGTTGTCTTGCTGTTTCCAGCTTGTTAGCTGCCTCCTTGCCACCACCTGGAGGTCCAAACCTTAACCGGCACCACCTAAACTTACTCCCTAGTATTTTGCCATTTTTATTTGATTTCAGTTTGTTGTATTTTCAATTTTTGGCTACAAAATTATTAATGATTGTGTTGTGGTCGCTTTATTTTTATATTAATTCTAATATCACACCCTTTAAGGTTGGTGATCCTTGCAGGTCGGATCCTCCCTTTCGTGTAATGGGCGAGAACCTTAAGTAAAGTATAGAATTAATGTGATGTCTATGCATATGATTTTCAGCTAGTTGATTTTAGTTTCTAATTGATTTTATTTACGTTATTTAGTATTTATATTCACGCAAATGCAAATGCTTTTTTTTTCCAAGATTTTTATTATTGTTTTGAGTTTCTAAAATGTGAAATCCACTTTTGATACATAGGTAAGGTGGTAGGTATGTATGTAGAAATTGAAGTTTTGGTGTTAGATATGTAAATACATACGAATTAAGTGGTATGTAAATCTTTGGATTAATGCTATGACCACTGCAAGGGGATTTTCTGTAATATGTTAAGTAAAACAATTCTAATGTTATGTAGCTGTTGATTTTTCTACTGGAGAAAATCCATGGCCGATATTTGAGTTGCAGAAGAAGTATAATGCTCCAGGAAAATCACCTCCTTTATCAGCGTAAGTTGGCGACCAATTCTTACATCTATTGTCTATGCCTATCTAAGATATTTGAAGTTTTTCAAACTAAAAATTTTAACTTTGATTGTTTCTCAGAGAATTTTATACTGGTTGGCTAACACATTGGGGTGAACCAAATGCAAAAACAAATGCAAGTTATACTGCTGCTTATCTAGAAAAAATCTTATCTCGCAACGGTTCTGTCGTGCTCTATGTACGTTCTCGGATAACTATTTGCTAACTCTATCAGCTGAATTCAAATATGTTTTATGCAGTTGTGTAATCCATGAGATTTCCAGATGGCTTATGGTGGAACAAACTTTGGGTTTTTTAATGGCGCTAATACCGGTCAAAATGTTTCTGACTATAAGGCTGATATTACTTCCTATGATTATGTAAGTTTTTGTACAAATCAATTTTTCTAATTTTAACAATATATTTCTTTATTTTATCTTCTTTTGCTCTTCTAGGATGCTCCAATTAGGGAATCCGGTGATGTGGACAATCCAAAATTTCAAGGCATGATATCTTCTATTCATCATGACCATTGTCAATATGCATATGCCGACTATTTTGATTCGACATTATGAATCCTCCTTCCCATTGATTCATGTCGTAGGTCAACAACATTTTAATTAAAATTTGCGAAAGTCTTCATGTGACATTGTAGCCATACTACTTTTTATCTATCTTATTTGTAAATTTTTTACTTTAATATTATTTACCTATCTTATTTATGCATCTTTTGTCTTTTGTTTTACATCATCAAACCACTTTCTATTATCTTATTTTTGATAGTTCAACATCTGTAACTGCTGCCATTTTTATAATTAAAAAATTTTAGTCCTTATTTTTGCTATATTTTCATCTTAACATTCTACTTTTTTGCAACACTCAACTTAGCTTTGATTGCTTCTTTGTTATTTAAGACTGGAATCCATTTGGCATAACTAGTCTTATGGTGTTACGTTAAATGTTACTTTCAAATTTGTATGCTGTTCTCTTGTCTCATTATAATCAGAAAGAATGCTATGGATTCACTCATGTATGAGTTAACCCAAACCACAATAAAAGTATAAACATGATTGTTGGAATTCAAAGGGGTTACAATGAAAACTCCCCAATATAGGAACAAAACAACACACACATGTGACTCTTGTGTGAGAGCGAGAATGAAGAGCTGTGACATGCATCAAATTTTTACATTTTTTATGCCTTAATTCTAGCAATTTCTTCCGTTAAATTCATGATTTTATGCTTTTGGAAAGTTGGAATTTCATTTTGCATCTTAGAGGAGGACTAGCATGCAAATCAGAGCAAAACAAGGATTTTTGGGAAAAATTGGACCGACATAGCCACGCCAGTTTCGGGCATGTTCACTCCCAACCCACCGAAGAACCTGTGCAATTGGAGGGTAGGCGTAGCCACACCGAATGGCGACGTGACCACGCCGCCCAACCAAAGCGTGCGGCGTAATTACGCCGCAAATCAAGTATGGTCACGCCGGTTTATATTTTCTAATTTGGAAATAACTAAGTGCGGGATTCTGATGATTTTTGGAAGGAATTTAAACTCCAACTATAAAAAGAACATATTTGAAGAGTTTTAGAGAGCTTTTGGAGGGGAGAATTCAGGAGGCTAGGGTTAAAGAAAAATCTTCTTCTTCTTTTTTATTTTCTTTGTTCTGTTTTTCTGAGAGAGGAATTGAGAGAAATTTGTGTTGCTGTTGTAAGAGGGGATTATCAAGGGGCTCTAAGTTTGTTTTTATTTTAATAAAAATGTTTATTGCAGGTTTGATTTCTATGAAATTTTCTTTGTTTTTCTCTCGAGCTATGAGCTGCTAAATAACTTTTCGTGCTTCAGTGATTTGAGGATCGATTTTTGGTTTGATTTTCGTCGTTGGTTTATCATATACGTTTTTATACGTCTTTAATTATTAACATTGTTGGTTAACCTTCTGTCTTTCGTTTACTCCTAACCTGACCAGTTAGGGTGTTAAAATCAATCTTGATCTATAATTTCAGCAAAAGCATAGTTGAATGATTAGGTTAACCACGGGATCCAAGTAAAATATAAATATTTTATTGCGGATCTTGCAACCAATAACAAGGATCAACAATTTATTCGGATTGCCATAAAAATGAGCGAAAATCATCTTTGTGGAATTCTAATTCTTCTTGAGATCTAGACATAGGCTTAAGAAGAATATATCATTTCTGGTTGACAGCAACCACGTAGGAGAAATTTGCACGAAAAGTAAAGTCAGGTGCCCCACTTGAGTCACGTTGGCACAATCCTTAATAATCTTGAAGAAACACCAAAGCAATTTGATCTGTGCTTTTCTCTATTTTTGTTTTTTGTTGAATCTGATATATTTAGGATTTCTTTTTACTGCTTTTTGAATCATGCCGAACTAGGTTAGAATAGTTAGTAAACTGTAACTTTGCCTTTTCAAATCAATTTCTTAACACACTTCCTCGTGGGAACGATACGTTGTACTCATGTATATCACTTACTACTTTAACACATTTACTTGCATGAAGTGGTCTCACGCTTCGCGGCGATTTTTTGTCCATCAAGTTTTTGACACCGTTGTCAAGGAAGTTTCGCTAAGAAAAGTTTTGAAACATAGAAGAACTGTAGTTAAACAACTAGAAATCTAGGCTTGGTAATTTTTTTTATTTTCTTTTTCTGAAATTTCTTTTCCTGTTTTTTATTATTTCTGTGTGCACTTCTATTGTTCTGTGTTTTTCATTGCAGGTGTTGAAAAATAAAAAAAACAAAATGCTGAAAATGCCAAAAAAAATACTATTGTTAATTGTTATTTTATTTTTTTTGCGTTTGTTTGAAACTTTGCACGGTGATTGTGATTGTGTGTTGAATTGACTTTTGTTGTGTTTCTTTGAGTCAGTTGTTGTGTCTTTTGTATGTTTTTTTTTTGTATGTCACTAGTGTGTGAGTTTCACATTCACTTTTCTTCTAGTGTATGCATAGGGGTGCACGCATTGACTTGACACCTATTGACCCTGAAATTGAGCGAACTTTTAGACATCGTAGGAGAGGACTCACTGAAGCTGAAACACGTAGAAATGGCTCACCATTGGGACCTAGCATGAAACCCATTAGGGATTTTGCCAATACCACTGCTGAAGAGATTCACATGAGTATAATTACCCTGCGGTAGAAGCTAAGACCTTTGAGCTAAAACCTGCCATTATTCAAATGGTTCATCAGAATCAGTTTTTTTTTTTTTTTTGGGGGGGGACTGAAGTCCCAAATATGCACTTAGCAAACATTCTAGAACTGTGCGCCACATTTTGGTGCAACGGTGTCCGCAGTGACGCTGTTAGACTAATGTTTTTCCCTCCTCGCTAAGGATAAAGCCAAAGCGTGGTTGAATTCTTTAGCCTCAGGATTCATCACTTCTTAATGGTGGTGGGGTGAAATGGAATCATCTTCCCCCGCACGAAAACTCTCTTGTCTGCGGATTCTTTTGCATTCGCATACGAGAGCGACTACGGCGGGTTCAGACATGTATGCGATGTTTTGCCACCCCCTACGCTCAATTTCTACCTCTATTTCCCCCCTGAAAATTGAAAATCCTGTTCAAGAATAAGCTTCTTTTTTCCCCACAAACTCAAAAACGTTGTTGAGCAGCCGAGCTCACGAAACGTTTGTTATCGTAAAAAGAACTACCTCTTCAACCCATTGAACCACGAGCATCTCGCCTATATTCGGTGGAAGATGATACACCTCACCCACTTCCTCAGCAGCCTCCTCGTCGCCAACCTCCTCCACTGCGCCCATCTTGATAAACGACAAAACTCAGCTTGTCGGGCAACTTCAGGCGATGTGCCCAAATCCATGGCATTTGAAGCATTTTCTGGTTAGGACTGTAGTAGGCATGCTACTCTTCTCAGACTTCTCACTCGGGGTGACTTTCATTATCCGAACCAATTTTCTCAACTCCTTGAGGTGTGCTCCTGTTGGTGTCTCCAATTGCGGGTGGCTACCAAACTGATGATAGTTGTTTGCGCTGTTTCTACTGTGTCTCCACCTTTAAAGCTAAGGTTTGTACATCTCTCATTGGCCAATAAAGTTGCAGTTGCATCGCGTTGCTGATAGAGGGTTTCAAACAAGCACCCCCCCCCCCCCCCAAAACCCACCCCAGATACCTTGTTATGGTGTGTTCCTCTGGCTCGACTGATTCACACTTCATTTGTAACTAGTCAAATTGCATCGTGAACTATTTCACAGATAGATCTCTCTACTGTAGGTGGTGGAGCCTCCGAACCATATACTGGTGGTAGTGAGGCGATAAATATTTTCTCTGCATCACCTTCCTCAGCTTCTCCCACTTTGTAATTTTTCCCTGCCTTCTTTCTTTCTTTATCTCTGCAAGTTTTTCCACCACAAGGGCGCTCTCTTTTTCAATTTCATAATTGCAAGCTTCACCTTTTTATCTTCGGTGTCTTTTTGTACTCAAATATCCTTTCAATTGTTTGCAGTCATTCAATAAAGTCGTCTAGATCCATACCTCCATCGAACTCTGGTAGATCCACCTTTATTCCGAAGTCCCTCTATCCTCCATAAGTGGGCTCCTCTCTTGACCTCCTCTGGTACTGAATTCCGAAGCATCGTAGCCTACCGTCTTAATCACTGAAATCCTCCCTATGGAAGGGGTTAAAATTCTCGTCTCCCCTTCGACTTTTCCTATCACGATCGAGGATAATTTCCCCCTTGGTTTCATCCTCCATATCTGTAAGCCTTCGTTGAAGTCGATGGATCTCTCGTTGTATCTCTTCTCAGGTAGTCTCGATGATATATCTCTTTGGTAGCATGACTAGTGTTTAGGGTTGGGAGGTGAAAGAGGATGTATAAGACTAATTGAAACTCCAGGAAAATTAATTTTGGGTAGCTGATTTTGAAAATCAGCAAGGGAAAATTAGGGTTAGGTCAAAATTTGTTTATGATTTGGGAATTAGAAAGAAAATTTTGATGGAGAGGGTAAGAAGAGTTAGAAAACTCTAGGATAGGATTAAGGTTAAGCTAGCTCTGCTTCAAATTGATATTGGGGTTAACTCAAACCACAATAAAAATATAAATATTTTTGTTGAAATTTAAGAGGGTTGCAACGAAAACTCCTCCAAACATGAACAGAACAACACGAACACATGCGACTCTCTAGGATGAGAACGAGAATAAAGGACTGCCAGCTAGACAATATGTAGAGGGAGGGTAAGGTGGAGGGTAGCTAGCAGGTTGGGGGTGGGGGGGTGGCGACATCAGCAATAAGGCGAACTGAGGCTGATGGCAGTGGCTCTAGGAGAAGAAAGGAGAGGACGACACCAATTATAAGGGAGAACGGAGAGGGTGACAATAGATGTAGGGTGAGAGGGTAACTATGGTAACAATAGTAAGGTGGGAGAGGGGGATTACAGTGGCTATCTTGTGGGTCGGAGGGGTTGGCAGCTGGGAAACTAAGAAGGGGAGGGATGCATGAAAGATGAAAATAATGAGAAAATGACGAGTTGCAACCAGAGCACCTTCTCACCACCAGATACAATACTAGAAGGGAAAAAGGGGGATGTCGAAGATTGTCCAAACAAAAATTTCAACTAAAGAATAACCTTAGAGCATAAAATAATGAATATATATTATAGATAATTAGGAGGGGGAGGCCCCTCTCTTTGGGCGGCAACCCTAGCCTGCAAAATAAAGCTGACCGGCCCTATTAACCCTTGGTCTAAACGGTTCCGTCCTCAAGGTGCCCACATCATTCACTTACTGAACTTGAGAGGACCAGAACTATTAATCTTATTTGTGATCAAATGCTACTTCTTAGCAATAGCTGATCCAAAGTTACAGGTTGGCATTTTAATTTTTGAAGATTTACAGGCATACCACACAAGTCTTATGTATTTACATATCTAACACCTAAAGTTTTATATTTACACTTTTAACACTTCAGTGGCTGGACACAGTGGAATACAAGAAGGCAGGGACCTAGGGGAGATGGCAGCGAGTAGGTGGAGAGGAATATGGAAAGATAACCATTCTCGCGGGAACAAGTTACAGCCGGATTACATTCTCATCTTCGGATATAGCCCTAAGAGGAAAAATAGCCTGCAGCGGCAAGCTTGACCGAAATCTGAAATCAGGAAGACCAAAAATGGAACCTTAAGACAACAAGCAACATATTTATAATAGGTACTAGTAGTTAGAATAGGAAAGAATTAGAATACGAAGGAAATAGAATTATGAAGGGAATAAGAAAAGACAAGGAAGAGAAGAATAAGGAATAAAAATAGGAAAGGAAGAGCAATAAGTAAAGAATAGAAATAGGAAAGGGAAAAAAATAGGCAAGGAATAAAAATAGGAAAGGAAGGGGGGCGGAAGATTTAGAATGGGAGGATCCTCTCCCATTGGGTGTCTCCTGTTGCTTTCCCGTAACCTCCCGTATCACTGTTGTATCGCAATCCCGCCCCACCCATCCAACCGACCAACACCTATCCCAATCCCTTCTCACCGCTGGCCACGGCTTGTCCTACCTAGCCCTAGCAGAATATTGGTGTTTTTGTGTGTTCTTTTCTGTTTTTGAGTATTGATTGTAACCCCGCTGGTTTTGATTAATAAAATCTGCTTTCTCTATTGTGGTTTGGGTTATCTCCGGTATCAGTTTAGGTGTTAGGTATGTAAATATGTAAGGATTGTGTGGTATGTATGTAAATGCCCTTTTGAGTGTCTTTCATGTTATTTAGTCTTTAACTTTCAGTAGTCTTCTGAGTGTCTTTCCATGTTATTTAGAAGTGTTAGTTTTTGCTAATATCATTTTGAAAATGCTTCTCGTTTTACTTCTGAACATTTACAAATGAAAACTCTTGGTGTCTTTGACCTGAAACATATGGATGCTATGATGATATCAATATCCCGGGTAAATGCAAAATGATTGACGGGGATAATGCTAACAGCCAAACACAGATTTGCTTCTTAACCTTTGCTTCTCGTCTTACTTTTGAACCTTTACAAATAAGAACTCTTGGTGTCCTTGATATGAAACATGTGGATGCTATGATGATATCAATGTCCCGGGTAAAAATGCAAAATGATTGACGGGGATAATGCTAACACCCAAGCTCGGATTTGCTAGTAAATTTTTGAAGACACGACATTGTTTCTCTGTGTCCTCCTGTAATTCACATTGCCCTCAATTGATTCTTCTCTCCAAAAAATTTTCCTCTCGAGTCTCTTTAGAAATGCTTGATCCCTATTCTATCATGCAGTGTTTGGAAAACATAGTCTTCGTAACTAAATTTCTCTTTGAAGAACTTTTAACTGTTGGAACATAGAACGTCTTTATGTCATCATTAAGGCTAATGATCATTCTTCATCAAGCTGAATTAGATGATGTGTGGTTTATACAAAACAAAAAAAAAAAAAAACTTCCTTTTCTTTTTCTTTGTTTTTTTGTTTTTTTGTTTTTTTGCATGATTGTGATGAATGAAATGATCCTGTACTGCATTTTTTATTTCACAGAATTGCTTAATATTATTAATTTGTTTGAGATTTTTTAGTGAACTCCTGCTAAACATTTTCACGTCCAGCGCTCAGAAACGTGATTGAAAAGTACAGCCCAAAGCCTCTTCCTCCTGCACCTTCTTCTAATGAAAGAGCAAAATATAGGTTGGTGAAGGTGAATAAGGTGGCATCTCTTTTCAATATTCTTGATATTTTATGTTATTCTACGGAGGTTGAAACTGACAAACCCATTTCTATGGAGTTAGTTGGCCAGGTAAGTGCATCTGTATGCCACAGCGACAACTGAATTGTTTCTTGTCATAGATACCTGATTATTTACTACTTGTTCTTCAGATGTTTGGTTTTTTGTTGTACATATCCCAATTCAGTGGAAAAGAAAGCTATAGTACTCTTTCCATTCCAAAGGTTGGAACCCTTAATTATCTTTTACATATTTTTTTCAAATAGCTTTTTTTTCATAGTTGGATTGATGATAATCATGAATAGTTTCTTGTTGTAGGTTCATGATAGAGCCCAAGTGTTCATATCATGTGCGACAAATGTGGGGGAAGGTCCAACATATGTCGGCACTATTGACAGATGGTCAAATAAGGAACTTGAGATTCCGAATATTAAATGCTCATCAGATATTAATTTACTTATTTTGGTAAATTTTATGGATCTTATATTTGACGGACTTTTCTTAAATGGTTTAGTACTTATGGTGAACTACCTATCATATCACCATGTTTTTGTTGCTGGCTTAATGATCTAACATGAGCTTTGATTGTAGTACTTGGACTATCCTTTCTATTCCCCCCCTAATTTCAAACTTCAATTCCTATCTACTCTAGCATTCAACCCTGATGTTTAGGAAGATTTACATACATACCACTCAATTCTCATATATTTACCTATCTAACTCCCAAACTTCAATTTTTTGCATGCATACCATCTAACTGTGCATTAAAATGTATATTTCACTTTTTAGAAGTTCAGATGGTGGTAATTTCGATGTGATGCATAAGATTTGGGTGGTTTAAAGGTAAAGCAAAGTTTAGGTGTTAGATATGTAAATATATAAGAATTGGGTGGTATGCATGTAAATGCTCCTTATATTTGCTAGGCGATAGCCAATTCTGTAGATTACCTTCGTATGTGATAATGGTTTCCAATTATGTGAAGTAGATGAACTTCCTACCCTTGGAAAGTTCTTTGGTGTCAACTGGAGTTCCTCATATGAAAATTGGCCTTCTAAAGGTGAAACCAAGATAATGATTGAAAAACCCTAAAATAATAAGCCTTTAAATACTAACGCAGTCTGTAAAAATAAAGGAATATAGTATCCTGGGCAACTATGATAGCTGTCTAGGGCATCTAGAAAGGTATTTAGAAAGGAGATTTAGCAGGTAAACAGCCGTGGAGAATGAAAATATGGGCGGTTGGCGAGGCTTGGAAAGGTTCGAGGTTTCGGCAGCTGAAATCTTCTGTGGGACAGCAGGATTGACATCGTCAGCGGCTGTCCCAGCTGCAACCAGCGATCCAACGGCAATTAGGCGTGGTACGGGTGGTTGGAGAGTGACCCCAAAGGGTTAAACAACGGTTTACTGCTGAAACAGAAGCTTGGACGGCTGCTCCGCTAAAAATCAGTGGATGAAAAGAGAATCGGTGAAGGGGTTTCACCACCTATTCCCAGGCAAGTTACAAACACGCCACTTGCAAAAAAAAATGATACAAGACTACATATAACAAAATTTAGATAGAAACTTTTAAATTAATAAACTCAATAAATATTGAAAATCCAAACCTTAATACAACATATAAATGCCTCCTCAAAGCAAATGCCTACTAGAAAAAAAGGTTAGAACTAAAAGGATGAAACAAAGGAAGGAAATTAGTTAAAGATACAAAAATGAATTAAAATAAAAATCGAGTTTTCTATCTCTCATGATCGGATATCCCCTAAATAGCGAACGACATTCCTTGCCCTATGTTCCGCATCTCAATGTTGTACCAAATTCAATGAATGACAGGAAACAAGATCGTGTATCTTGTGATGGAAGCTCCCACATCATCTCCCCATCTAGGAAAGACTTTGCCTTTTTTCTAGAAGCTATTGGAATTGATCCACCACTATCATAGTCATCATCGACTTGTTGTTTATGACACAACCTCCACTGCAATATCTATGTTGACATTCACTTAAGATAACTCTGAAACACGCAAGACATTTCAATATTTATCCTGATAGAATAACAATCATCCTTCTTTGGCACAATTTGAGCTAGAATGATACATGGACGTGTATTCTCATGAACCAATTCTCTAGCCATTAAATCTGCAACATGCTTATCCCACTTCTCGTATGCAAATGAGTGTATCTGATAAACAAATATGTCAAAAGCAATTAACTTTGGGACAAAATCTATAGCAGTCTAGGTAACTTTCAATGGCAACCACTTAGGAGAGATCTCTTCTTTTTCTGTGGAAGGATTTGGATCCCACTGTAAGATGTTCTTTCCTACAAAGATTCTAAGGCAATTTTTCAATGTCATGGTTTGTTCCTCTTGTTTGACCTTCTGTCAACAGATCACTGCTGAACTGATTTTAATACTCAAATTACTTCAATACAATTTTCCAAAAATAGCTCAAAAGCTTCTCATCTTTGATATGTAGGACCTCGACCTCCCTCAGCAGGGGCAACGCAGGAAATGAACTGTCTTAAAAACCTGAAATTTCTTATCTGGTGTTGTCATGTGGCTAGTGTCGACTTCTCAAAGTCGTGACCCTCCTGGACGCCTAATGTCATTCCTGTTGATGCTCCACTTAATGCCTGCAAAAAGATAATTCGTGGTACCACATTCTCAAACTTTGTATGAACTCCCATTATCGTAGATGTGGTACCTTCTAGGACAACCAATGTTAATCCAGCTAAAGTATATTTCATGGGCTCAATTTGAATCACTTGAATCATTCTTATCGACAACAAGCTAGATCTCCTTTGCATCCTCCCGTTCTTCAGTACTTCTTGTGTCAATGTCCATTTTTTCAATTGCTCTTTGCTCAACGAAAGGGATTGCTCTTTTATTTGGGCAATTAGGAACTATGTGATCAAAATTTTGATACTTGAAGCATTTACTGACGAAAATAGAATTAGGAGTATTGACGGGCTCCATTTTTTCTACTCTATACGGGTTCCTCCTTTGGTCGACTCGTCTTGGGTGCTCCACTGGGTGCATGCTTATTTCCTGATTTGATGATTAAACTCCATTTGAAGGGTCGTGTGGAACTGATACTACTGTATTGTCTCTCTACCTTCAAGGCTAGAGTTTGGACATCTTATATTTTCCAATAAGGCTACAAATATATCACCTTGGCAATGGACGATCTCAATCCCTTCAAATATTGAGCTATGGCGTTCAGCTCAAGCTCCATTAGCCCAGACTTCAACATCAGTTGCTCTAACTTAGCGGTGTACTCCTCCACAGAATAATCTCTAACGGAGGTGCTGGAGTCTTATGTACATATTCTGTTGTAATGTGAGGGATGTTTTTTGCACTGCATCTTTCATTTCATTTTGGACCAGGTAGTAATTTTACCTTTCCATTCACACCGTCAAAAATGCTTTAGGTTCTCTCATCACTATGAAACATTTTTTTCTAAGCTTAATGACTGTCAATTTAAATCTCATCACGTGGAACATCCTTGTACTAAAAAATTTACTCCACTGCATGGAGCAACTCGACATCTAGATCCATGTCAAAAGTGACTTTCAAAATCCAGTAAATTCACATTTACTCCAAGATACTGGCTTCTCCTCTAATAATCCATGTCGAATCGAGGTAGTGATTCATTGTCATTGGAAACTTCTCGATGAAAATGATTCACTTTCTTCCTTTGATCTAGCGAGTCACTTTTGTGGCTATGGTAATTTCTCTAGATTTTCTCCTCTCATAGGTGGCAAACCTTTGTTGCAATTGGCGAATTTCTTTTTGTATGTCCTTCATAATGATCTCCTAAACACATCTTTGCATGTTTCTCGTACGAGACATTGTGTCTTTTTCTCTTGATCAAATTTCCGGAAGATGTAGGATTGCAAATTTAAGGTTTAGTGAAGGTATAGGATTTTGGCAAAAGGAGGTGGGGTGGATTTTTTTTTTGGAATCGGGAAAATTGAATTTTGAAAATTTTAAATGGTGGGGCTAGGAATTGCAATATGAATGATTTGTGACAAACATTTATTTTAGTGGTTGGGTGATTCTGAAGTTAACCTAACTCACAATAGGAATGCAAATATTATTGCTGAAAGTCAATAGTTACAATCAAGACTTAAAGCAAGAACAAAAAAACACAACAAACGATTAATCTCGCGATAGGACCCAGTGGTGACGGTTTTTGGATAAGTGTGAGGGGTTGAGGGAAGGTTTGAAAGGTGATAGTAGTAGGGAAAAGGGTTCAATTTTGATATGAAAGGGGTAGGGGAGGTAGAATAGGAGATGTGGGGAAAGGGGCAATAGATCTTGCCCATTGGAATAGCAGGCCAGTCCAACCTCCTGCTATATCAACACCCAACTGAATCGGGTTGGATTAGTTCAGCCAAGCCCTATGTCAGTCTTTCAGAATTGGGGGAGCCTCGATTTCATTCATCGAAGTTTCAGGGTTTTCGTAGTACGGTGTCAAGTCCGCAACATTGAACGTGGCAGAAAATTGTAGTATCCTGGCAGGTCGATCTTATATGCATTATCATTCAACTTCCGAAGTATTCTGAAAGGTCGGTATGCTCTGGGCTTAAGTTTTCTAAATGTTCTTACTCTGAATCTCTCTTTCTTCATTCGGATCCACACTATCTTCTTCTTTAAAGGTTACTTTTTTTCTTGTCTTGTTCGCCTATGCCTAGTACTTGTAATTCTGCTTAGTGATCTTTTTCCGACCTCTCCGTAGAGTTTGTGAATCTCGTGCACCTATTCCTTGGCATCCTAACTAATATATGACATCAGCTGGAGTGATACTAATTCAAGTGAAGTGAGCGAGTTGTGCCCATTCACAAATTTAAATGGGTTGCAACCTGTAATTTGATTCATGGATCTATTGTACGCAAACTCATCCTAAGCTAGAATCAAACTCCACTGCTTGATATTCTTCCCAACAAAGCATCTAAGCAGATTTCCAAGGATTCTGTCTACTACCTCCATCTGACCGTCCATTGGGGGTGGGCTGTGGAACTGAATTGAAGTTTAGTGCTTAGCTTTCCCCATAGTGACTTCGAAACTTGACATCCTTGTTTGAAGTGACGATCATGGGTATATCGTGAAATACAAGTCAGCGACATGTGATGCATCTAGTGTTTAGTGGCAGGGTACGAAATGCGTAATTTTCAAGAATCGATACACCACGACCATGAATGAATCCTTGTTCTAGTGTCCTTCGAAGTCCAATTATAGAATCAATGCTGACATCCACTCACGGTGACTCTGGTACTGATAATGCGGTGTATTATCCTGCATTTAGCCGCCTGGTCTTTTTGGCATATGACAAATTCTGCATTGTCTGACGTGCGGCTTCACATCTCTCGCTAGTTGGGGCAAAAGAGGTTTTCTCTCTTCAGTGCGAGTTCTTGTCCCGGCCAAAATGCTATGTGAGTCCTCCATTGTGGCTTTCTTAAATAAT